TGCGCAGCTCGGCCATCTTCCACTTGGGGAACAGGTGCACCACCACGCCCTCCTGTGAGATGTGTGGCGGGGCCACCCCCAGGGTGCTAAGAGAGAGAGAGAGAGAGAGAGAGACAAAGAAAAAACGAAACAAAAAACAAAACAAAATTAGCCTGTCGAAGGACCCAACCATACGCAGTTGTGAATACCGCAAATATGAATATCGTTTTCGGTGGCGCTACCTCTGGGTAGGGGAACCGCATGCGGATACCCCCACTGGGGCCTACGGTGGAGCTCCCTATGGGGCGACGAAACGCTGCCCTGGGTGCGGGAACCGCATGCGGACACCCCCACTGGGGCCTACAGTGGAGCTCCTTATGGGGCCACGAAGCGCTGCCCTGGGTGGGGGAACCGCATGCGGACACCCCCACTGGGGCCTACGGTGGGGTTCCCTATGGGGCCACGAAACGCTGCCCTGGGTGGGGGAACCGCATGCGGACACCCCCACTGGGGCCTACGGTGGAGCTCCCTGCGGGGCCACGAACGAAACGCTGCCCTGGGTGGGGGTACAGCATGCGGACGAGTTCCCTATGGGGCCACGAAGCGCTGCCCTGGGTGGGGGAAGCGCACGCGGACACCCCCACTGTGGCCTACGGTGGAGCTCCCTATGGGGCCACGAAACGCTGCCCTGGGTGGGGGCACCGCATGCGGACACCCCCACTGGGGCCCACGGTGGAGCTCCCCATGGGGCCACGAAGCGCTGCCCTCGGTGGGGGAACCGCATGCGGACACCCCCACTGGTGCCTACGGTGGAGCTCCCTATGGGGCCACGAAACGCTGCCCTGGGTGGGGGAACCGCATACGGACACCCCCACTGGTGCCTACGGTGGGACTCCATATGGGGCCACGAAACGCGGCCCTGGGTGGGGGAACCGCATGCGGACACCCCCACTGGAGCTTACGGTGGAGTTCCCTATGGGGCCACGAAGCGCTGCCCTGGGTGGGGGAACCGCATGCGGACACCCCCACTGGGGCCTACGGTGGAACTCTTTATGGGGCCACGAAACGCTGCCCTGGATGGGGGAACCGCATGCGGACACCCCCACTGGAGCCTACGGTGGAGCTCCCTATGGGGCCACGAAACGCTGCCCTGGGTGGGGGAACCGCATGCGGACACCCCCACTGGTGCCTACGGTGGAGCTCCCCATGGGGCCACGAAACGCTGCCCTGGGTGGGGGAACCGCATGCGGACACCCCCACTGGGACCTACGGTGGAGCTCCCTATGGGGCCACGAAGCGTTGCCTTGGGTGGGGGAACCGCATGCGGACACCCCCACTGGGGCCTACGGTGGAGCTCCCTGTGGGGCTACGAAACGTGTGAGAGGTGCGCCGAGAGCAAAGGCAAGGGGGGGGGAGGAGGGAGGAGGGGGAGGAGGGCGGGAAGGAAGGAGGAACGCGGGGCGCCGTCTCTTCAAAACGAGGACCCAACACCACAGGATGGTTGGGAAAAACCTTGAATCGCACGGCCGGCAGTGAAAACCCTTGTTACTCCAACGCTGGAGAGAAAAGACGAAACAACTTGAATCGCACTGCCGACAATGAAAACCCGTGTTGCTCCAACGCTGACCTCTGTTGCAGCGGGGCCTTATCTGCGAGGGCGCGCCGCTGGATCTCCCCAATAGGGACGGGGGGGTGGGAACCCCGCCCCCCCCCTTTCCTCGATCCGTCGTCGGGAACCCCCCCCCCTCCCCCTCCTTCCCCGATCCGTCGTCGGGGACCCTCCCCCCCCTCGTCGAGGACCCCCCCCCCCCTCCCCCCTTTCCTGGTCCGTCGTCCCCCCCTCCCCCCCTTCCCCCCCTTTCAAAAGGGGGGGGTCCGAACCCCCCCCCCCCTTCCCCCCCTTTGGCCGCACCCCCCCCCCTCCCCCCTTTCGCCACGCCGTCCCCCGACTCCGGAACCCGACCCCCGCCACCCCTACCCTTAGTCCTCACCCGAACCCAAGCCCCTAACCCTAACCCCAACCACTAACCCCAGCCCCAAAGAGTACTCACTACTCATTACTCACTACCCACTACTGACTACTCGCTAGTCGCTACTCACTTCTCACTACCCCCTACTCACTACTCACGACTCACTACTCACTATCCACTTTTCACTACCCACCACCCACTACTCGCTACTAACTATTCCCTACTCACTACTCCCTCTTTCCTACTCACTACTCACTCCTCACTACCCACTACTCAGTATTCACTACTCACCAATCACTACTCACTACTCCCTACTCACTACTCACTAACCACAAATCATTACCCACCTCCTACTGTCCACTACTCACTACTCGCTACTCACTACTCATTGCCCACAAATCACTACTCACTACCCACTACTCGCTACTCGCTACTCCCTACTCCCTACACAATACTGACTACACAGTATTCAGTACTCACTACTCGCTACTCCCATACTCGCTACTCAATACTCACTACCCACTCCCCGCTAATCACTACACACTACTCACTACTCCCTACTTACTAGTCAACACATAGTCTCTAGTCGCTAGCCACTAGTCACTAGTCACTACTCACTACCCACTACTCACTATTCACGGATCGCTACTCACTACCCACTATTCGCTACCCACTACTCACTACTCACTGCTCACAACTCACTACTCCCTACTCCCTACTCACTACTCAGTACCCACTACTCACTACTCGCTACTCACTCCTCGTTACTCACTAATCACTACCCACTACTCACTACTGACTACTCTCTACTCACTACTAACTACTCACTACGGCCTACTCGCTCCCCACTACTCACTACTCACTACTTGCTACTCCCTCCTCGCTACTCACTACTTACTACCCACTGCCACTTCCCACTCCTGTCTATTCATCACTATTCACTACTCACTACTCACTACGCACTACTTACTACCCACTACTCACTACTCTCTACTCACTACTCACTACTCACTACTCGCTTCTCTCTACTCACTACTCATTACTCGCTACTCACTACCTACTACTTACTAATCACTACGCACTACGCACTACGCACTACCCACTACTCAATACTGACTCCTCACTACTCGCCACCCATATTCACTACCCACTACTCACTACCCACTACTCCGTACTCCCCACTCCCTACTCAGTACTCACTACTCGCTACTCGCTACTCACTACTCACTACTCACTACTCGCTACTCACTACTCACTTATCAGTACACACTACTCACTATTCACTACTCAATACTCCCCACTCGCTATTCCCAACTCGCCACTCACTACCCACTACTCACTACTCAATACTCACTACTCACCACGCACTAACTCACTACCCACTACTCACTACTCCCTACTCCCAACTCCGTACTCCCTACACACCTTCTCCGGCGCAGAAAGGAGAAGCGAGAGAGGCCCCCCCTTCCCGGCTCCCTTTCCGGCGCAAAGGGAGGGGAGGGGGGGGGGGTCCGACCCCCTCCCCCCCTTCCAGCGCCAAGGGGGGGAGGGGGGGAGGGAGGGGGGGGTTCGGACCCCCCCTTCCCCCTTAAGGGAGGGAGCGGGTGGGGTCGAAAATCGCACCCCCCCTTTGGGAGGGGGGGAGGGGAGGAGGTTCTGGGAGCACAGCCCACCTCTAGTGTACTCAGGGAGATCCACTGGCGCGCTTTCCTTATCTGCCCCGATACGCAACACGCAACACGTAGACTTGTGATACGGAGCGCAACACGTAGACAGAAAACGTAGGCATGGCGCGATACGTTCGCCAAAACGTGGGCCAATACGCGCACCTCGTTAACACGGACGTTCTGAACACGGTACGTGTTGCGTTTCAAACGGGCGTATCGAGGCGACTACAGGCGGGGCGCTTTCCGCTGGCTTCCTCCAACCTTCCGCCGGCAAAGGCAGTGGAACCCCATACGTCTTCCAGGGTCAGGGGCGCCCACAGCGAGCCTGGCGAAAGTGACGAGCTGGAGCGCACGAGCCAGAGCGCACGAGCTGGAGCGCACGAGCTGGTGCACTACAGCTCGCCTTACCCGGATGGGCACGCTGGGGCCCGCTCGCGTGCTCTGACCTGCGCGCCCTGGCCTGCCTCCTCGGGACCCTTCCCGACGCCCCTCGCCGGCGGCAGGACCCGCCTTGCCTTCCCTCCGCTGGCTTCCCCGGGCGGGACGCCGGCTTTCGCCGAGGGAGCGGGACGTAAGCCCGGAGGGCGAGGCAGCTGCTGGAACGTCCTGCTTTGACGCGCTGCCCACCATGAGCACCCCAAGTCCTGTAGGAGTTGAATGGCGTCGGACGCCAACAGAGCCCGTCGGAGCCCGATGGAGCCGAGTGGAGTCGGTGTGGAGTCCGCTGGAGCCCAGCGGAGACCCGAGGGGGACCCAGTGGGGTCCAGTGGAGGCCAATGGCAGCCAGTGGAGGCCGAGGGAGCCCAGTGGAGCCCAGCGCACTCCCGTGGAGCCCAGATGGAGTCCCGCGCGCCAGCCCGACGAGTGTCCGCCCGGAGAGAGCCCGCGCCTGCCCCCGCGCGCCCCCTTATGTAGGTCCTGCGTGCGCCCCGCGCGCCCGGCGCGCTGCGTGACGTTGGCCCAGGTGCACAGCGAGGTCTCGAGCGCGCCGAGCTGCCTGTCGGCGTCGAACACGCGCTCCTTCATCACCCCGCTGTTGATCTTTGCGGGGGGGATCGACTACCTACCAGACCACCCCAACCCAACCCGAAGACCCGAACGTGTTTTCTCACTGTTCCCCGACCCCCCCCCCGCTGGAAATGGAGGGCAAATTGAGGCCTTCGCGTCGGGTTGGGGTGGTTTGGTGGGTGGTGAGGGATGCGGGCGACTCCGACCGGTGTGGCTCGCAGGATGCGCGGCCTGCCACTCGCAGCCCGTGGGGCGGGAGGGGGCGTCGGCAGAGTGCCCTGCCGCGCCCCGACTGGGGCTCCTCGAGCCTCTCTGGCGCCGCGCGGTGCACCCCGAAGGCCGCAACGGCGCCGATCGCAGACCACACCCAAGGGCAACCACACCCACTGCAATTCCTCTCCGCTGCCCCCCCGGGTAAAATCGGGTGAAGGTGAATCGAGAACCTCTGAGACCCGGCGGCTCTGGAGGATGTCTCAAGCGCCGCGGCCTGCTCAGAGCGCTCCGGGACTCTCTGAGAGCGTTCCGGAACGCCCTGGACCGGATTTATCCTCGTCCCAGCCCCGTCCGATTCCCTCCCCTGCCTCTTCTCTCGGCTACACGCAACAGTGACCCTGGGCAAGAGCGACCTCTGGTGCGCGGCTTCCGGGGAACCGCTGGGAGGCAAAACCCTGGGGCGCAGGCCAGCGCTTGCGGGACCCCCTGTGGGCCCGCACCACAAGGTCACTCCAGCGAAGGGTCACGCTGACGCTTAGCCTTCTGGATGCCACGACACTGGACACCCTAACGGTCCTATCACTGAATCTAACATGTGCTTGAAATGTCGGAACATGCTCTCTAAACATGTTTTAAACATGCTTTCCCACATGCTCACAACATCTTTAACACATGTCTTAGACGTCTGGGAACTATTTGGCAGCATGCCTACTCTCCGTTGATCGCCCTCCACAGGCTCAGCCGCCTCTCGCCCGTGCGCGCCCTCGGCCTTGGCCTCCGAGGAGGGCACGCCGGCGCCAGGGCCGCGCGACGGCTCCGGGAGGCGGGGGGGGGGCCCGGCCGCTGCAGGCCGGGGCGAGCGGCGAGCCCGAGGGCGAGCACGGGGAGGCTCTGGCGGAAGCTGCAGCCCATGGCGGGGGCAGGAGGACCAAGGAGCGGGAAACTCCCAGGGCCGCATCTGCCCCGATAGAGAGGGCAGAACGTCCACACCGAGAAGAACCACCCCGACACGCGAAGCCGTTTAGGGCGAGCACGGGGAGGCTCCGGGGCTCAAGGCTCCAGCGTCGTCGGGGAAGCAGCCGCGGAGGCGAGCGGCGAGCCCGAGGGCGAGCCCGAGGGGGAGGGAAGCCACCGCGGCCGAGCCCAAGGGCGAGCCCACGGGCGAGCGGAAGCTGCGGCCCAGGACGGGGGCGGGAGGACCAGCCGGGCCAGGAGCGGGAGACTCCCAGGGGCCGTGCCCGTCGGTCGGAAGAGAAGCAGGCAGAAGCACGAAGCAGGAAGGCGTTGGGAGCAGATGGGGTCTCCGCCCGCCCGCGGAAGAGGAGGGAAGAGAAGAAGCCGCTCGATCGTTGAGGTAGGAAGGCGCTCAAAGCAGATTGGAATCTGGGACTCCAAAAAATCCCTACTGCCAACGACCGGCGTGCATCTGCCCCGATATATAGAGGGCAGGACATCCACCCCGATAAGAACCACCCCGACACGCGAAGCCGTTTTTTGCAAACGCACCCAAGGAAGAAGGAATCAAACAGGGCAGGGCTGTTCAGTAAACGCCCGGGGCTGTTCAGTAAACACCAATTCTCCGGTCCAGGTGGTTTTTCCTCCCCTGGCGATACTCAACACGCAACGCGTGGCGTTTTGATACGGGGTCAAAACACGTAGACTGAAAACGCAGGCATGGCGCGATGCGTTCGCCCAAACGTGGGCCAATACGCTGAGTCAACGCGCAGCGTGTTAACACGGACGTTCGGAACACGGCATTACTTGTTGCGTTTCAAAACGGGCGTATCGAAGCAGCTCCGCCCAGGACCTGTGCCCTCGCTGGCAGTGACACCGCGAAAAGCAGAGATGGTAGGATCCTCAACGGGCGCTGGCTTTTCAGAGGCTGAGCTTCGCTGGATCTTCCAGAGATGATCATGAACATGACGAGCACGTCCACACTTACCCACGATCACCGCGCCCAAGATACAGGACATGCAAAGGCCAAATACTATCAGGCGACCTTTCAACACATCCCTCTAGCCAGCAGAGAAGGCAAGCGCACACAGCGCACGACCCCCTATGTCTTCTCGTCTTCATTCCATAAGCATTGGGAGCGGTGAGCTCGCTGCTTTCAGATGTCTCCTTCTCCACCTGTTCCCACTGCTACTGCTTCGCCTCCTCCTGATCTGAATCCTCCTCCTCATTAAGACCATCCGGATCCCATCAACATCCATTAGGCCAGCTGGTTCCCAAGCCCAACGCACCACGAACACGATGTCGTCGATCGTCACGGACGTCTCTGCAATGTTCGTGCTGAGGACAACCTCCAACCGTCAACCAAACGAGCAGCTATGGTCAGAGGGCGGCACACGTTGACTCCGCCCTTGTCGTCTGCTAGGACTCACAAGACACATAATGCAAGCAACACCTGCGATTGATTCACCATCTCTCTCTCTCTCTCTCCCTCCCTCTTGCTCCCTCTCGCTCCCCCTCCCTCTCTCTCTCCCTCGTTTCCTTTCTATCCGCCACCGTGCCCCCTGGCACGCTGAGGCGCGGCAGAGCATGCCCGGCGCTGGATGGCAGGACTCCTGCACTTCGAAGGGGCCCCCGCCCCTCCCCCTCCCTTGCCGGCGCTGGGCTGCGTGCACCGCCCGGAGATAGCCGACGATGGCCCGAGACAACTTCCGACGTGCCCCCGAGGAGGCCCGACAAGGGCCACAGAAGCGGTTCCGAAAAGCCCTCGGCGGGGGCGCTCCGGCGCCTCTCCGGCTCGGGAGCGGCCAAGAGGGGGGTGTCCAAGAGGGGGGGGGGGGGCAAATCATGACCGGCGGCACCTGCGCGGCCCAGCGGGGGGGGGCAGGGACGTAATGAAACAAGAAGAGGCGCCATGAAATCTGGGGAAATATCATGACCCCCGCCATGATATCCCCCCCCCCTAGTCATCACCCCCCTCTTTTCCGCCCCCGACCGGCGCGCTCCCCAAAAAAGGCTCCCCGAGGGGGGCGCAGAGGTGGCCCCCCAGGGACGGCCCAGGGCAGAGGCCAGCGAGCAGCGCCCCCGAAGTGGCCATGCCAGCGGCGGCTCGGAGGCGGCCCCGGAGAGGCAGCTCAGGCGCGGCCTCGAACGTACCCCTACCGCCGTTTGCGAAATCAACGCCCATCTTAGGGATCGAAAACAAGACGACGAAGCACGCCCCCTTTCCCCCGCATTTCAAGGTTGACGGGGAGGGCTGGGCAGTCCAACACAAGTGGGCGTTTACTTCGCAACGTTTCGCACTCCCCTTCGGCGTGTTTGGTGGCCATCATTGAAATACGGGGCGCGGGGCGGGGCTCTCGGTACTTCCACGCGTGGGCGTTTATTTCGCAAACGGCGGTATCCCTAAGATGGACACGCCAAAAGTCGATGACAATCTTAGGGATCCGTCCTCAAAAAAAGAAAGGGAATCCCTAAGATTGGCATCGTGATGAGGAGGTGCCCAGCATAGGGATAGGGATATGTTCCAGGCTGGTAAGCTCAGGAGCGGCCCGGGATGGCCTCGAGGCAGCCCGACGGGGGGAGCAGACAGTCGGACTCGATTGGAGAAGACGCGCGAGAGGACACGAGACCACTCCGAGGGCCACGCTGCCGCAGAAATGCAGGAGGCATGGGTCGCAAGAGACGCAGGACACGAGGGCACCCTTGATCCGGCAGGGTCGACCTACCAGTCCGGGCCGCCTGTATGGCCCCATAGCCTGGCCAGACGTTGGCCCACGTTTGGCCGCACAGGCGGTACCAAAGGGTGGGAGACAGCCCGACGGGGGGACATACAGGCCTCGGACAAATTTAGCGAACCCTCATGCCACATTCATCTGTGAACGCCTCCCCCTCCCCCCAATGTTCAAAGTTGGCGGTGGGTCTGATGAGTTGCACCTCGACCGCAGTCTCCCCCCCGCGTGCCAACTTTGAGTTTGGGGGGCAGGGGGGGTGTTCACTAATTGTTTCCCTCTACCGTATAGCCCAACTTTCGTAATCAAAGGGGAGGGGTCACAACCCTCCCAGACGAGCAGCTGCAGACACCCCCCCACTGGGACCAGCCACAAGAGGGCGGCCTCTTGCCCAGACCCAACTGCATCTCTCAGACAACTCAAATCAGACCCCCCCCAAGTCAGACATCACGACTTTTGTTATAAAATCTGGAGTAGCCAAATAGCTTGGCCAGACGTTGGCCCAACGTTTGTGGCCGCACAGGCACTACCACAAGGCGGGAGGCGGCGGTGGTTCGCCGTAGGCGCCTTGGATACAGAAGAGCAACGCGTGCGCTCCACGCGCGAAGCGCCCCATTGCCTCTTCCACCTCCTCCTCCTCCTCCTCGTCGTCCTCCTCCTCCTCCTTCACCTCCTGTCCTTCTCCTCGTATCCTCTTCCTCCTGCCCTCCTCCTCCTCCTCCTCAGCCTCCTCCTCCCCCTCATCCTCGTCGCTCTGCTCGTCATCTATCCTCGGGCCTCGTTCCGCTGTGCGCCTCCGCCTGCTCCTCCTCTCCTCCTCCTCCTCCGCCTCCTCCCTCTCCTCCTCCTTCCTCTTCCTCTTCTTCGCCCTCCTTCGCCTTATCATCCTTGTCATTCTTATCATCCTCCTCCTCTTCTTCTTCTCCATATTCTTAGTCCAATAATTGTTATTATGTTATTGTTATTCCTCTTCTTCACGTTTTGACTTCAGCACGTGCTGGCGGATCCCTGGAATCTGCTAAGCAGGGTGGGTCTGAATGGGAGGTCTTAGATGCCTAAGACGGTCTTGGGGGGCGAGTGGGTCGTCTTCGGGACCACCACTTCCTCGTCCTCCTCCTCCTCGTCCTCCTCCTCCTCCTCTTCCTCATCCTCTCCTCCACCAACAACCCTTCACAAGCAAACACATGCACACAATGTGTAGTATCGTTTCAAGAGACACATCGGACGAAGAAGCCAGCCTTCCGGAGACCTTTGGGCGGGTCGTCGAACACCCGCTGCTGGTCTTCAGGAGATAAGTTGGAGTGCAACCTTACCGCCCCGAGCAAAGCGCTAGAGATCGCTAATTGCGTGCGACGAGCATCAAATCCATAATTTGCCATTCGATGTGTTTGGTGGGACAGTGGCGACAGACAGAAGAGTAGAGCATTGTTCTAGGCGAACGGCCTTTGTCTCCCACTCACCTCCCCGTCCGCATCCCCATCCCCCTCCTCCTGCTCCTCCAACCCCGTCCCCCCCTGATAATCAAAGGACGCTCCCAGCTGTCATGCTAAACCCCCACACCACGGGGGACCTGCCGAGGAACGGGAAGAAGCACATCTTCATTATATAAAACAGTCTTGGACCAATGAGCCACAGGTGTGGCCATCGGCAAGGCCAACGCACAGGCTGTTTTAATCGTGATGTGGGTCGACTTAAACTTACGCGGTCAGTTCGCCTGCTCACAATGTCAAGGCGCTTCTCTTAAAATGACATTCGCAAAGTTACAATTCGAGGGCGTTCTTAATATTTTGACCCTCTACAGAATTAGACATTTGATCCGCAGACATACTGTCCTCTTGAGGTGCGAACCGCGATGAGCGGTAGGCGCGAGAGCGTCCGCGCCATCGAGCGCGCGGTGTTCGGATTGGCCGCCGGCAGCTGCTAGGAGGAGGCGAACCTGTGCCCGTGCCGAAGGCGATGTGTGCGTGGGAGGGCGGATGGGACTGAACGAGACAGCCAATGACCCACCGTGGCAACCTAAGAACCAACCCCAAACCCCTCTCCCCCTGCAGGGTCTGAACGCGGGCGGGCCCCAGAGGCCCTGGATCCGATTTCCGCCCCGCTGCCCGCCTCATTTCATGCTGCACAATTGAACCGCGCAAAAAATCAGATGCGGGTGGAACACTGGCCGGAAATCGGATCCGCCTTAACATAATTCGGAACCGAAATTGGATCCGCGCATCCTGATACCAAATCCGCCTCAATTCCACTCATACCATCTTATGCCACTCTGGACGATGTTAATGCCAAGGGCAGGAGGAAGCACTTCCGTGTTGGGGAAGTATGCAGAAAGCTAACGCAATTAGAGCCCCATACAATGAGCACGTTGATGCGGAGTTGTGGTAGCATGCAAGAGATATACAAACATGTTGACTCATCCTCAGCGTGATCCCCCTCGGTCATCAAAACAGGCCAGCACATGTTGTGACCCAGTGCCATCTTTCCCACCTCCAATACACAAGGGTGCAATTGCTACGCCAGCAGCTCTTCCACCGTGGGCATTTATCTGATTTAAAAGTTTCTACGACAGGGCAGCATCTCTCATTCCAGCGTCACGCCAAGCTATCGCAGCGAAAACAATTGCTAAGCCAGCTCCTCGTTCGACTTTCAGAGTGGTTACTACCTACCCCTCCCTTCTCATCCATTTGTGTTCTTCTTCCCCCGTCCTCGTTCCCTGCTGATGATCCTCCTCCTCCTCCTCCTCCTCCTCCTCCTCCCTCCTCCTCCTCCTCCTCCTCCTCCTCCTCCTCCTCCTCATCTCCCTCCTCCTCCTCCCTCCTCCCTCCTCCTCCTCCTCCTCCTCCTCCTCCTCTCCTCCCTCCTCCTCCTCCTCCTCCTCCTCCTCCTCCTCCTCCTCCTCCTCCTCCTCCTCCTCCTCCTCCTCCTCCTCCTCCCTCCTCCTCCTCCTCCTCCTCCTCCTCCTCCTCCTCCCCACCACCCCACCCCACGCCTCGCGAAAGTATGTAATTACGCGCACAAGCAAGCCCCACACGCTCGCACACTTCTTCGCCGCAGCGTTGCAGGAGGCCGTCCGCACGCGCGCCCGAGCAAACCCAGGCCACCGCACTGCGAAGTGTTCCACATGCACGAGTGGAGGAGCACAAGAGGGCCGGCCGCGGAGGGGGAGGAACAACAAGCGGGCAGGCGCGCTCGCGCGGCGAGGCCGCAGCGGGGCGCGGGGGGCGGCCGCCGAGCCGGCGCAGCAGCCCCTGGCGGCGGGCGCGCGGGGCGGCAGCACGAACGCACCCCCTGGAGGGGGCACAGCGGGTGCAGCGCAGGGCCGGAGCCCGGCAAGCCGGCAGGGTGGAGGTCAGAGCAGCAGCGACCTCAGACCCCCGACGTCGTGATTTTTTCATGACGTCGACCCCCCGAGGTCTCGACCCCTTCCCCGGGGCCGGTTCTTCGTCCTGAGCAGTTTGTTGACGCTCCCGAGGGCCGGTGAGGGCCCCCGAAGGCCACAAATAGTGAAAAACCTCCCGTCGTGATTTTTTCCTAACTCGAGGGGGTCTGGGACGACGGCGGCCCCAGCAAACGGGGGGGGTGGGCGGGCGATGCGGCTGCCTGGAGGGCTGCGCGAGCGGGCCGCACCGGCGGACCCGGGGCCGCGGCGGCGCGCGCTCGCAGCGCCCGCCGGGGCAGGGGGCCGTCGCTCGGACGGCCACTCCCTGTGTTCCTGTTCGCTTTCGCGCGTGGCCTCTTCGCAGGAGGATCCAGGAGGGTCCTCACAATCGTCCCCGCCGAACCCAGACCCCCGACGTCATGATTTTTTCATCGACGTCGACCCCCCGAGGTCTCGACCCATTCCCCGGGACCGGTTCTTTGTCCCGAGCCGTTTGTTGACCGCTCCCGAGGGCCGGTGAGGGCCCCCGAAGGCCAGAAATAGTGAAAAACCTCCCGCCGTGATTTCTTTCCTAACTCGAGGGGGTCTGGGACGACAGCGGCCCCAGCAAACGGGGGGGGGGGGGACCGGTTTTTCGTCCTGAGCCGTTTGTTGACGGTCCCGAGGGCCGGCAAGGGCCCCCGAGGGCCGAAAATAGTGAAACACCTCCCGTCGTGACTTTCTCCTAACTCGAGGGGGTCCGGGAGAGATCAAAAACGGCACGCGGCCGAGCGCCAGCCGGGGCAAGGGGGCCCCAGGCGAGGGAGCGGGCGCAGAGGCCGGGCGCGCAGCCGGCGCGGCCGGCGGGGAGAGCCGCGGGGCCCGGGCGGCCGCGGGGGGGGCGGCGCGCGGGGGGCCGCCGCGAGGGGCCGCGGGCGGGCAGGGCGGGGGGGGGGGGCGGGGCCCAGACCCCCTCGAGTTATAAAAAAATCGCGACGGGAGGCTTTTCATTATTTTTGGCCTTTGGGGGCCCTTACCGGCCCTCGGGACCGTCAAAAACCGACTCAGGACGAAAAACTGGTCCCGGGGAATGGGTCGAGACCTCGGGGGGTCGACGTCATGAAAAAATCATGACGTCGGGGGTCTGGGGGGGGGGGGCGGCGGGAGGCCCGCAGGGCCAGGCCAGCCGCGGGGGGGCTGCCCTCGCAGGGGAGCTGCGGCAGCAGGAGAGGGCTGTGCAGCAGCAGCGCCCGAACCAGAAAGGGCCGAATTCCCCACTCCCCCCCCCCCCCCAGTCTTAACGTTGGCGAAGATTGCGCTCGAAAGGCTGGCCGCAAGGCTTTTCGGGCCCCGCTTCTCCTGGAACACTTGTTCGTTCGATATGGAGGCCGGGGCCTGGACCAGTCATGCGAAGTGGTTCCTCAACGCCTGTTGCAAAGATCTTCTTTCAACAGTTTTTCTCAGACGAACGTATCATAGAAGTCGTCGCCACCCCCCACCATACCGCGCAGTGATGGAATCGCTCACGCCTGCGGTCGCCACTAGGGTCATACCTATCACCAGCAACGCCATAAACATCTTGATCGGTAAAATATGCATCATCCGTGCCATCGCAACACTGACCGCCAAGGTCGTCGCCACCATGACCGTCAGGATCGGCAATCTGCTTTCTACTTTCCTCTACGTATGCGTTCACTTTTGTAGCCTGTGGGGGAGATGTCAAACACGATGCGAGCAGATTGCCGCTTGCAGTGAGTGCATTACATAAGGAACCATGGGATAAGGTTCCCAGGGTCTGGAATGCGGTGGAACTCCAACGGTGGAGCGGCCATGGATATCTCCGCCGACCTCGTGAGACGAGGAATCCCGCTGAGCCTGCAGCCTTCTGGGCACACTCCGCAGCGAACGCACCCACCGTGGTGAAACTTACCCATCCATTTCTGCAACCTGTGGGGGGGCATGTCAATAGGGGAACAAAAAGTGGCGTCAACATAAAAACTCGGAGGTCCGCGCGGATTTCTCGGATCGGCGCTGGACCCCCCTCCCTGGCGCGCGGAGCGCGCCAGGGGCAGCGCCGGAGGCTCCGCCAGGGGGGTCCGGCGCGGATCCGAGAAATCCGCGCGGACCTCTGAGTTTTTATGTTTATGCCACTTTTTGCAATTTTTATGTTTATGTTGTTTTGTTTTTATGTTTATGTTTATGTTTATGTCACTTTCTGAGTTTTTATGTTTATTCATTTCTGTAACCTGTGGAGGGGCATGTCAGAGCCCAGGAGACTCGTGCGGCCAGCTTGCCGTGCACCGCCTGCGGGCCGGAGAGGCGCCACAACACTGCCGTGCGGGAGGGGGGCGATGGCCCGTGGCGCAGAGCACGGCTGACTGAGGGCCCCGCATGAGAGGATAGATGCCGGGCACTCCCTGCAGTCGGTGGTAAAGTCCTCTGGGCAACCCAGCGGGTCGCATAGGGGAACAAGAAAACACATGAACATACAAACTCGGAGGTCCGCGCGGACTTCTCGGATCGGCGCTGGACCCCCCTCCCTGGCGCGCGGAGCGCGCCAGGGGCGGCGCCGCCAGAGGGGCCCCAGCGCCGATCCGAGAAATCTGCGCGGACCTCCGAGCTTTTATGTTTCTGTCACTTTTTGCTCCCCAATCTCAGACCGAGAGATGATCGCGTCGTGAGCAAGAAAATCACGGCGGGGGCGGGGGGCCCTTTTCCCTTGTCGGCCTCGCCAGGCGCCGGGGCCGTCAAAGAGCGCCTCTCGAGACGAAGAGCTGGCCCTGGCACAGGGGTCGGGGCTTCCGGAGGCCCACAGGTGTCGGGAACAAGTAAGCAGCACTCATGCAGAACATATGGTTTGAACCTCCCCCCCCTCCCCCCAAATGCAATGTCGGTTTCGGATCTTCCGATTTTGGGCCTCCGAGCGGTCTTGCGAGAACCCGTCGACTGTGAATTGCGGGGGAGGGGGGAGTGTTGCTGAATTGTTTCCCTCAACCGCAGTATTGAAATCGTCCTGGCGACAGACCCAGCCATGTGCAGGCGTGAATACCGCAAGGCAGGTGGGACAACGAAAGGGGGAGCCCCTATGGGACCAAGAAGCGTGTGAGGGATGTGCCGACATGGGGAGTTGCCGCCATGAGGGTGCTGGCACTGGCGCCATTGGTGGAGCCCCCTATGGCTTCTAGGGCAACGAAATGTATGAGTGGTGTGCAGACTTGAATCACCGACGCCATGCGGACCCTGGCATTTGGACCTTCTGTGGAGCTCCGTGTGGGGCCACGATGCGTGTGATTGTTGTGCCGATATCGGTGCGGCGCCGCCTTGCAGACCCTGCCGCCAGGGTCTTAACTGGAGCTCCCTATGGAGGTAAGAAGTGTGTAAGTGTTGTCCAGATATCGGTGCGGCGCCGCCTTGCAGACCCTGCCGCCAGGGTCTTAGCTGGAGCTCCCTATGGGGCCACGAAGCGTGTGAGGAGTGTACCGAAATAAAGCGGCGACACCACACGGACCCTAGCACTTGGGCCTTAGCTGGAGCACGGCGAAGCCGCGAACGTTGTGTCTTGAGACCTGGATGGTCCGGGCCTTCACACTGGGCCAGGAGGCCCCGTGCAGCCTTATGCACAGATGCCCAACACAACTTGCAGAAGAGGAGATCGGATAGCATCTCTCCCGACTCAGCCTGCACAGGAGCCTGGACCACCCTACTCCTCCTGTCCTCTTCCTCCTGTCCTCCTCCTCCTCCTCCTCCTCCTCTTCCTCCTCCTTCTCTTCCTCCTCCTCCTCCTCCTCCTCCTGCTCCTCCTCTGCCTCTCCTCCTCCTCCTCCTCCTCCTGCCAGCCCGGCTGAAGCAAGGAAGCCTCGAGGAGCAGGAGGCGGAGGCGGAGCGAAGAGGGCCCCGAGGTCCCCTCGGCGACAGCATCCCGCTCGAAAGGTTGCACGTCTGCCAGCTCGGAAGCCTGCAAAAGCTCCTGATAATTTTCATCGTCGAATTGAATGTCCGCGGGGGGGAGGAGGAGGAGGAGGAGGAGGAGGAGGAGGAGGAGGAGGAGGAGGAGGAGGAGGAGGAGGAGGAGGAGGAGGAGGAGGCGAGGAGGAGAGGAGGAGGAGGAGGAGGAGGAGGAGGAGAGGAGGAGGAGGAGGAGGCGGAGGAGGAGGAGGAGGAGGAGGAGAGGGTGGGGGAGGGGAGGAGGAGGAGGACGAGGAGGAGGAGGAGGAGGAGGCGGCGGCGGCGGTTGCGGCGGGCGAGGAGGAGGCGGAGGGGACGTCCTCAATCACCGCGCACAGTTGCCAGCCACCCTAAACCGAGGTCGCCCCGCTCTGACCACCACCCTGGGGCAATCCATCCCATACTCCACCTGTCATGCAAACGTGCGCTTTCCTTGTTTTGGGGTCAATTCTCTGGGGCGCCTGAATCGGTTTGGTGGCGAAGGCTGGCTTGGCAACGACATGCTGGACGCTGCCCAGCAAATAGTATTTGCACAGTGGCGTCAGTCCAGCCACAGCCCAGATCAAGATCAGGACTCAGGACTCAGGACTCAAGTGTCCGCGAAACAATCCCATGATGTCATCAGTGCCGGGGGCGTGCAACATAGCAACAACACTGAGGAGTGGACGGCGGGGAAGTTATGACGCTGACGACTGCGGCAACACACTGTGACAGGATGTAAACACGATGCAACCAAAGGTCGGCGTTCTGGAGTTTTTTTACACTGGCGTGAAACATGTCATTATGTTGTGGTCACTTCGACGTTGAGCAAATACATAAGCCACGACGAATGGAACCGACCAGCCTTTCGCACACATTGCTTGGGGAGCGCTGGACCGAGACGGAGTCGGAGGGACCCTGAACCCTCCGCCACCCTATACGACGTAACATGAGAATCGCGCTTCGGCTGTCCGAGCACTCCTTGGATGTCCGCCCAGCCCGGGAGGAACACGAGGATGCCGCAACGACTCTCGTCCCTGAACCTGGTCGCCGTGTCGTGAAAGAGCAATACCAGCTCCTGCGCAAGAGCAGCGCTGTTTGTCCCGTGGAAGTCACGATCGAAAACGCGTGGCCAAGCAACTCGAAAGCTGGGAACGCGCATCATCAGCCTCGTCGTCCTCGTCGCCATCCTCAGCATGCCCGCGATACGAAAACAAACCAAAGAAGCTATATCCGTAGACCCGAACCTGCATCAAATAGCTACGCGGGGCGTCTCCTGTCGCACACAATTCTTAACACCGCGCCGCGAAGCTGCATCTCACCAGCCCCGTGGGTGCACGCGGTTCAGATCGACAAATCTTCCAACACATTCTTCCCCTTCGGGGAGGGGTTCATCCCTCTGCACTTCCCCACGCCGCAGCGCCTTCCCCCTTGCCCGCGGAGTGGAGGTGGCTGACAGCCCGGGTCGGCGGCGGCCCCTGGCCAATCGCGAGACAAAAGGACACGGCACGCCTGAAAATCCTTGCTGGAACTTGACGGCGGGGCGGGCCTCCTGTGGCTGCCCTGACCCCCCCCCCCTTTGAGGGGCTCTCGTCACATGGTGGCTCCTCTTCGAAGGGGCCCTGGGACACACACACACACACACACACACGAATAGATAGACACAACTGACAGGATTCGCCATATGTTCCTGCATTTCCTGGGTGTTTGTCTTCCCCCCCCCTTCCCATCTTTCCCCATAGTTTGTGTATGTTACATGTTGTTTTTTCCCCTCCTTACGCTTGGAATCCTGCCGGCGCTCTGTGTGGGGCCCTCTGGGAGCCTGGGAGCCCGCGTGGCCCTCCCGAGGCCGCCCCGCGAAGGGCGCGCCGTCAGGTACAAGCGGTCTTGTGATCCTCCTCCTCCTCCTCCTCCTCCTCATCCTCCTCCTCCTCATCGTCCCTCCTCCTCCTCCTCCTCCTCCTCCTCCTCCTCCTCCTCCTCCTCCTCCTCCCCTCCTCCTCCTCCTCCTCCCCTCCTCCTCCTCCTCCTCCTCCTCCTCCTCCTCTCTCCTCCTCCTCCTCCTCCTCCTCCTCCTCCTCCTCCTCCTCCTCCTGCTCCTCCTCCTCCTCCTCCTCCTCCTCCTCCCACATACCTTTTTCCTTATTCCCTACCTAGGCTCTGCCTAGAAGGGTTCTTACTCTGTTGGCTCAAAGGGGCCGGGCAGTGCACACCGCCCCGGGCGGTTACCCCAGTCCCATGGGACCCAAGCAACAGCACCAGCAAAGGGAAAAGCAAACGCGCGGTTCCCCCAGTTTCGCTCCCTGGGTGCCAAGCACAAGCAAAAGCAAAGGCAAAAGTGAAGGCAAAACCGAAGGCAAAGCAAAAGCATAGCATAGCATATCATAGCATAGCACAGCATAGCATATCATCGCGCAGCATAGCATAGCGCAGCATATCATAGCATAGCATAGCATATAATAGCCTAGCCTAGCCTAGCCTAGCCTAGCCTAGCCTAGCCTAGCCTAGCCTAGCATAGCATTGCGCAGCATAACATAGCATAGCATAGCATAGCAGAGCAGAGCACAGCATAGCACTGCCGCTACTGCTACAACTACGACGATGAGGAAAAGGAGGAGGACGGCGTTTACCGCTCCTACACATGTTGCTTTCCTAGAGGCTCCAACTCCCAGGTAGGGTCGCACTGGGATAATGAATAACTCCTCCCTGTCACACCCCGAGGCGTGCCCGGAGGGCGGGCCGGGCGTTTCAAGTGAGACTTCCCCACCATTTATGGTCCTTACGCTGAGAAGGTGCAAGAGGTTCGCTGATAACGGGCGGGCCGCTTTCAAAATAAAGCTCTCGCCTGAGTGGGCCGTTTTCATAAGGTGGTTTTCGCCCCAGCGCCGCGCACAGTCGCACTACAAGAACGCAAGAGCTTCATGGATGGAGGGCCGGTGGTTTCAAACATGTGGATATCGCATTACCGCCGCGCATATTCGTGAGAAGTTTACGACAGTTTCCAACATTCTCGTGTGAAAAGTTCCAGACATGTTTGTGTGGCACGATGCCGGAAGATTCGCTGCGTTGAAGTTGAAGTCCCAGGAATGGCGTTCTGCTAGAATTCAAGATTGCCAAGACGCAACAGTAACGGTGAGTCGTGGCGCTGACGTCCCAGGAGTGGCGTTCTGGCACAATTCAACATTTCCAAACGGTTGCTTTAGTCCTTCTTGAAAAATGTCCTCCACGCACCGTGCGCACGTAGCTCGAGAGGCGGCTGTGCGCGTGGTGAGGCGGCCCTGGAGGCGCAGCTGCGCCCGCGCTCGAATGGCCGACCATACCTGACCATGGGGCTGCTGAGGTGGTCGCCGCCTGGATCGCCATACCCCCACCGCGCGGCGGCAGGCGGCCGCCTCGCGGGCGCGCCATCCCAGCCCGACCTCCTGCCAGCTGGAGACCTCCTGCCTGCGTCAAGTCTGTGCGGCTGCGCCGTTTCCTGCCCGCTCGGGCTGGTGCGCGCGCGCGGGCTCCTGGAACCTCTGGAGGGGCCGTGCCGCGTATTGCGGGATGGCGCATTGCAGCCTGCGCGCAGAGCCAGTGGGGCTGGGACCCCAGCGTGGCGGACTCGATCCTGGCCATGGGTGCCGCCGCTGCCGCCAGGGTCTGAGTGGAGAGCCGCCGCGGGAAGCCGAGCTCCTGGAGGAGGAGGACTCGCGGCACGGGGGCGTCGGTGTCGAGGAGGGGGCTGGCCCGCAGGTCCTGGACGGCATTCGGCCACGCCCCCCCAAGACGTGGCGGGCGATGAGGAGGGGCGCCGCCCCGCACGCCTGCGGCCGGACTCCGGCGCCCAGCGCGCGGAGGGCCACCACCATGGGACCCGAGGATGGTCATCTAGCCCCGCTCTGCGGCGTGCTCGACTTGCTGCCTGAGTGCCGTCATGCTTGTGGAGGCCATGACAGTGGACACTCACAATCCTACCATTGAACTAAACATGTGCTTAACATGTGTGAAACATGTTCTAAACATGTTTCAAGCATGTTCCTTTTTATGTCTAAAACATCGTTGAAACATTATGTTAGACATTGGGAAATTATCCAGCAGCATGCTTCCTCTCCATCAATGGACTTCCACGACGTCAGGCGTGCTGTTTCGCCGATGGTGGCGCCGACGTACGTGTGGGAATCGACGCACTGAGCGCCGCCATGCGGGTGGCGGGCCCGGAAGCCCTCCGCCGGGCGCTCAGTTCGGTCTGGCCCGTGCCGCATCTCGGCGCGCAGGCTGCCACGGCCGCAGCCTGCAGCGCCCGCGCACCCACGGCTTGGCCCCCCAACGAGGACCGGAGGGCGCTGTCATCCACGCACCGCGCAAGGCCGAGTGTCGCGGGGGTCGCAGCGCTGACGATCCAGAGCCGGTCAGCATCGGAGATGGCCTCGGTCATGACCTGGTTCCAGCTCTTTTCCCACGCTGTTGCCGCCTCTTCGGCCGCCGCGCGGTCCAGCTCGGTCGCATCACCCGTGCCCCGGCGCTGCCAGTGAAACGTGCGCACAGCCTCCTCTGGCGGGTCGAGGCCCTGGGCGTCGGCACGCGGTGGCGACCTGAAAGCGCCTCGCTGAGCACGCGGAGAAGGCCAGCGCAAGCCGCATCCACTCCGGCATGCCTGTGGTGAGGGGCTGCGGCGCTGATGCGACGTGGCCGTAGCAGACGCTGCTGGAAGAACCGTGGATCATGGCTGCCGCCACTGCCAAGTCCTCGCCTTCCACTCTGGCCGTGCCGCGAAGGTCGAGGATGACAGCCGGGTGATACGCGGTGTCGAAAGCGCCCGCGAGGTCCGTGAAATACTCCCGCAGTGAAGGCTCTGGCCATGCCCGAGGATGCGCGCGTCGATGGTGAAGTAAGCTGCGACGAACGCGTCCCCGCGGCCAAGCTGGTCGGCGCCCGCCCAGAGCCACGCGCTCCCCTCCGCCCCGAGGGCCCACCATCCTTCTGCGATCCGCACTTCCAGCGTGTTGGCGCTGAGCGTTCTGTAGATATGGAGTACCTCAGGCAACTTCCTGGGGAGGCTGCGCTTGTGGAAGGTGGGCTGCAGCTTTCACAGGCTGGGGACGACCTGGAGGAAGCTGGCCATGTCCCGCGCTGCCAGAGAGAAGGTGGCGCGCGCCTTGGCGAGAAGCCCAACGCTCGCGTACGTAAAAGCCCAGTGCTGGCGCGGCCAGCGTTGACTCTGCCAGCGGCGTCTTGGAGCGCTTCCGTGGTGTACTTCTGGTGGTCGCTGCCCCAGTGGCTCCGCCAAGATCGGCGACTTCCGCGGAGGATGGCGGCGCATCGGTGCGCCGCCGCCCGGACCTCCTCCGCGTTGAGTCCCGGTCGCTGGACCCGGTCCCGGCCGCGCTGCGCGATGTACTCTGCAGCCCCGATGAGGATCTCGTCGCCGTGGAGGATGGTGGTCGTCCGCGTCGGTTTCTGCATCGCCTCGGGAAGCCCAACGCCTCGCTCCTGGAGCAGGCGGCCGAGGTATGCGTGTGCAGCCGCCGGGTCGGTTGTCGAGAGCTCCTCGGTGGCGGGCTGCCCGGCGCTGGGCGGACGCCCGCATGTGCCCCAGTGCGCGCGCCCAGTCTGGCGACGATGCACCACGTGAAGATTGGCGGCGCGGTGGCTGAGCTATCAGGCTCGGGCAGCGGCTCTCCGTGTCCTTCCCCCTCCTCCTCCTCCTCCTCCTCCTCCTCCTCCTCCTCCTCCTCCTCCTCCTCCTCCTCCTCCTTCGTTTCCTGCTCCTGCTCCTTCTTGTGTGCCGCGCTAGTGCTGGAGAAGCCGCTGCGCCTGCCTGTAGCTCCTCCTAGTTGTCCTGATGCTCCTCCGCCTCCTCGCTGGGTATTCTGTTCCTGTTCCTGCTCGCGCTCGTCCTCCCGCTCCTGCTGCTCTGGCTGTTCCTGCTACACTGCGACTGCTGCTACTGCTACTTCTCCGCTGCTCCTGATGCTGCTGTTTATCCTCCTCCTCCTCTTCCTCCACCTCTGCCTCATCCTCCTCTCTCTCTCTCTCTCTCTTCCTCGTCCTTCCTCCTCCCACTCCTCCTTCCTCCTTCCTCCTCCCTCCTCCTTCCTCCTCCTCTTCCTCATTCTCTTCCTCATCCTCTTCCTCGTCCTCCTCCTCCTCCCTTCTTTCTATCTTTCTTTCCCTCCCTCCCTCCCTACCTGGTTGCCGATCATTTAGGTATGCATGCAGTTCAGAGGGGAGAGAAAATCCTCCTCCTCCTCCTCCTCCTCCTCCTCCTCCTCCTCCTCCCCCTCCCGTTCCTCCTCCTCCTCCTCCTCCTCCTCCTCACCCTCCTCCTCCATCTCCTCGGTGCCCTCTACTCTTCAATTCCCTCCTCCTCCTTCGCCCTCGCCCCTGTAGTTAAGTGAGGCATAATTTCTTTCTCCTCTTGCTCGCCTCCTCTCTCCTCCATTCATTTTCCTCCTCCTCCGCCTCCTGTTTTTGCTCCTCTTCGTCTTTTTTCGTTGACTACATTGTCATACTAAAATGTTGTCCCACGCCTCATCCTCGTTATGTTCCTCTTGCACGTTCTCCTCATCCTCCTCCAACTCTTCCTCTTCCTCCTCCTCCTCCTCCTCCTCCTCCTCCTCCTCCTCCTCCTCCTCCTCGTCCTCCTCTTCCTCCTCCTCCTCCCCCTCCTCCTCCTCCTCCTCGACCGCGATTCTGTGCTACAGATGAGTGTTAGA